ACACAGGGACCCCCCAGTTTGGGCAAGGAGATGCTGGCACAGCCAACCTGTGCTGGCATCAGGGCAACATCTGAGCCACCAAAGGGAGCTTCAGGCTGATGGACAAAACAGCAAATCCTGAGGGCTGGATGGGGTCTGGGGGCACCTGGACTCCCCCTTTGCCCCAGGCAGTACCAGGCTGCTCCAGGGAGAGCTCCCCCACCAAGCATCTCCTGCTGCATCGCCACCCAGCACATTGCCCTGTCTGCAGGAGACGGGTTGAGCAGGTCACTCCATATCTCCACAGCAGTCATTTCCATTCCAATTTGTACAAAGTCTGTTTTATCCACCACAGCGTGACCCTTATTCCTGCCCTGCTCACGAGCTGCCATGACCCCAAGTAGGGCTGGGAAAGCAGCTCCCCTCGAAGCACTGATTACACCTGCCCAACTGCAGCACCTACGGTTGTCCACCTAGAATTGCATCCTGCATTTTCAGGCCGTTTCTTCAATTTCTCAAGATTATTTTGAATTACTCCCCTGATAGGCTTGGCTTTGGAGCCAGCACCCTCTCCAGACATGTCCCCTCCACAGAGCTAAAAAGCAGAGTGCCAGTTCCACCACCTGGGCTGCCATCAGCACTGTTGGGGACACCAGTACCCCTCCGGACGCTTGTGCTGCTTCGGCAGTGCCCCATGGCTGATAACTCCTGCCGGTGGTGGGAACGGCGCTGCAAAATGCCAGCTGGAAGGAAACTAGAAGTAGTAACCAAAGGGTTAAGCGTGCAAATGCATGGAAACAAAGTCATCGCGTTTGAAGCCCAAAATAAGTATGTGCCACCTTTAAAAGGAAAGCAGCTCTAAAAGAAGAAAGCTCACAGTGTGAGCTCATCCCTCATAACAGAGTGACACAGGAGATCACCTCAGAGGTATGGCAGGGCAAAGCATCCTCCTCCTCGTTACCGCTGTGGGTTTGTAACCAGAAGATGCAACCCCTGATCTCCAGTGGATGCTGAAGGGCACAGCAGCAGCCCCCAGCCAGTACCGATTGCACCGGCAATGAGTGCTTGGAATAATTTGTATTATCAGCCTCACTACAGCCTGAGGACATGAACCCCTTCTCTCCTGCTCGTAGCACAGCCCAGCCAAGGAGTGCTCAGGGGTGCCGTTGGTCCCCACCAGCAGGTTGCCATTGACAGAGGCTGGTGGAGGGACCTGCCCATCACCGTGCGCTCCTCCATGCTGCAGCCACCACCAACCTCGCACCCAGGACAGCCCCACTGCCACACACAAGGCAGGAGGCATCACCTGACTGCAGCAGGAGATGGGAGCCATTGGAAGGCAGAGGTGATGTCCACACCTGAAAGCCAAGAGGAGCAGAAAGTGAGGCAGGTACAACTTGCCAACGGTTACGAAGGTTAACGAGCAGGTTTACACTCAGAAGCAGGGAGCCGGGCAGGTTATCTGCAGGGCTGATAGACCACCAATAGGTGCTCAAGGAGGACAGAAATCTACAGAGAAACCCATGATTTATTCACTGGGGAGCAGGTAGAGAGAGGTTCCCGCACCACAGCTTGTCTTCAGATGGGGTAAGGCTTCTGCTAATTGGAAGTACCAGTAAAAAAAAGGGCTTTCAGAGCGAATCAATGGAGAGAAGAAGCCCGCAGAGCCGCAAGAGCTCTGAAACCAGAATGGTACGAGCGGCCACCACAGTCAGCCCCAGGAGGACAGGGCAGGCAGCGTCACACCCCCCGACGCCAAGGGACGAGGCCAAATCTCCATGAGGAAACCCCAAACCTCCAGCACAGTAGTGCCAGGCACAGCACAGGAGTGTGCCTTACCCCATCCCACCGGGACAGACCAACACTGGACACACAGGTGCTTGGAAGGCTTTATTGGGGCCACCACAAACACAGGCCCAGCCTGCAGAGGGGGGACGCTCCCCTAAACACGTGGCTTCTATTAAGAACCGCGTAGAACAGTGCAGATGAACCACCGACCCCACCCCGGGAAAACCCACGCTCCGTAGAGCCCCCCCACCAGCGCCCCATTATAAACAACTACTCGGCCCCACCCCCTGC